TAACACATAAGACAGTACATCATTAAAAGCACAACATTCATACAGTTCGGGTGGGTTACAGACTTTAACCCCAGGCCTGACGGGATAGCCAGATTTTAAGGGCTGTGCGGAAGGTCTGGAGGGTGGTGAGGGTACGAATCTCCACGGGGAGATCGTTCCATAGGGACGAGTTCTGTAAAACCGAATGGGAAATTTCTACTTGTTCCATTTAATTCATTTGCACTGGAGAGAATAGAATATAGAATAGAATATAGAATAGAAAGGGAGGTGAGAAGAAAAATAGAGAATAGAATAGTGAATAGAATAGGACAATGAATAGAATAAGAATAAGAATAGAATTCTTTATTGGCCAAGTGTGATTGGACACACAAGGAATTTGCCTTTGGTCCATAAGCTCTCAGCGTATATAAAATAAAAGATACATTTGTCACGAATCATAAGGTACAACATTTAATGATAGACATAGAGTACAAATAAGCCATCAAATCATACTAAGAGTCAATATAAATCATAAGGATACAAGCAGCAAAGTTACACTCCTGCAGTCCTAAGTGGGAGGAGATGGGTGATAGGAACGATGAGAAGATGAATAGTAATGCAAACTATTAGTAAATAGTTTGACAGTGCTGAATGTTGCACCAGCATCAGTGCTAGAAGGGAGTGGGGTTTGTGGAAAGGAAGAGTAGGGAGGGGGAGGACTTTGGTATCCTTGGTGCTCTCTGAGCTTGGTGGCTTTGCATACGTTTCATTGCCCAACTAGGTAATAGCATAAGGACTAGAAGAGAGTGGGGTTTGAAGATGATGATGAGGAAGACTGTGGGGTCCTCTGTGCTCTCTGAGCTTCATAGTCTTCTTGAAGAATTTGCATGACCCAAACAAGGGAATATCATCAGGAGTGCTAGGAGGGAGTGGGGTTTGAGGAGGGGGACTAAGGGGGTCCTTTGAGCCCTCTGAGTTTACTGGTCTTCTTGCAGATGGTGCATTACCCAAGTAGGTAATAGCATCAGTGCTTGAAGGGAGCGTGGTTTGAGGAGGACGACTGTGGGGTCCTTGGTGCTCTCTGAGCTTGGTGGTTTTCTTCCAGATATTACATTATCCAACTAGGTAACACCATCAGGGGTGTAGAAGAGAGTGGGATTTGTGGAAGAGGATGGTGGCTTTGGGGGTCCCTGATCCTTTGAGCTTGTTAGTTTTCTGGCAGACATTTCGTGACTCAACTAGGTAACATCATCAGTGCTACAAGGGGAAAAGGGGAGGAGAAGGAGGGGTGGTGGAGGAGGAGGACTATGGAGGTTCTTGGTGCTCTCTGAGCTGAGCAGACATTTCATTACCCAACTAGGTAACATAATCAGTGCTAGAAAGTAATGGGATTTGTGGAGAGGTGGAGGAGGAGGAAGACTGGGGTCCTTTGTGCTCTCTGAGCTTGGTGGTTTTCTTGCAGGCATTTCATTACCCAACTAGGTAACCTCATCAGTGTTTCGAGGGAGTGGGTTTGCAGAGGGGAAGGGAGACTGTAGGGTCCTCAATACTCTGTGTGCTTAGGTGATTTGTCTGGAAGACGTTTCCTTACCCAGCTAGGTAACATCACCAAGGGAGTGGAAGTTGTGGGGTGGAAGAGGATTGTGAGGTCCTTGGTGCTCTCTGAACTTGGGGTTTTTCCTGAAGACGTTTCATGACCCAACTAGGGAACACCATCAGTGCTAGAAGGGAGGAGGAGGAGGAGAAAATAATGTGGTGTCCTTTGTGCTCTATGAGCTTGGTAGTTTTCTTGCAGGCATTACATTACCCAACTGGGTAACATCATCAGTGCTACTAGGGAGGGAGGTTTGGGGAGTGGAGGAGGAGAAGACGGAAGAGGACGATGACTATGGAGGTCCTTGGTCCTCTCTGAGCTTGACTGTTTTCTTGCAGGCATTTCATTACCCAACTAGGTAACCTCACCAGTCTTTGGAGGGAATGGGTTTGTAGAGGGGAAGGGGGGACTGTAGGGCGATTTGTCTCCAAGACGTTTCCTTACCCAGCTAGGTAACGTCACCAATGCCAGGAGGGAGTGGAAGTTGTGGAGTGGAAGGAGGAGGATTGTGGGGTCCTTGGTGCTCTCTGAACTTGGGGTTTTTCCTGAAGACGTTTCATGACCCAACTAGGGAACACCATCAGTGCTAGAAGGGAGGAGGAGGAGGAGGAGAAAATAATGTCCTTTGTGCTCTATGAGCTTGGTGGTTTTCTTGCAGGCATTACAATACCCAACTAGGTAACATCTTCAGTGCTACTAGGGAGGGAGGTTTGGGGAGTGGAGGAGGAGGAGAGGGAAGAGGACGATGACTATGGAGGTCCTTGGTCCTCTCTGAGCTTGACTGTTTTCTTGCAGGCATTTCATTACCCAACTAGGTAACCTCATCAGTGTTTGGAGGGAGTGGGCTTGCAGAGGGGAAGGGGGGACTGTAGGGCGATTTGTCTCGAAGACGTTTCCTTACCCAGCTAGGAAACGTCACCAATGCCAGGAGGGAGTGGAAGTTGTGGGGTGGAAGGAGGAGGATTGTGGGGTCCTTGGTGCTCTCTGAACTTGGGAGTTTTTTCCTGAAGACATTTCACGACCCAACTAGGGAACACCATCAGGAGTGCTAGGAGGGAGTGGGATTTGCGGATTTGTTCTCTTGGCGGACGTTGCGTGACCCAACTAGGGAACATCATCAGGGCTCCCGGGAGCGCTGGGCCTTTTTGCTAAAAGGCCGAAAAGGGGCTCCAGAGTCGCAGGGGCAAACAAAGCTATTCCCCCCCCCCCCATAAAAAACCCCTTCGACCTTTCCACACAACGCAGGTCTTCCCTCCCCGCCGTCCACGCCGCTCACCCCCACCGACCACAACCACCGCACAGAGGCCCGAGGCCGCTCCAGGGAAGCTCCGGAGGAAGATCTCCGAGCCCGGCCTGGGCCCCGCGGCGGCGAAAGGAAAACCAAGGCCGACCGGCCCGGCCCGGCCCGGCCTCGTCTCCAGAGCCCCGAAAAGGCGGGAAAGGCCGTTACTTACCCGCCTCAGGACCCCATGGGCGCCCGCCAAGCGACGCCGCTCTAGGACGGCACCTGCCGGGCCCGCCTGACCAGCGAGAAGAGAGAGACAGAGAGTCGTCCCCCCCCCCCCACCAATCCACCACGCATCTCTCCCCATTGGCCGGTCTCGGTTCGTTTCCGCCGTTTTCATCGGCTGGAAGCGCTGCCTGTCATTCCCGCGCGGCGCCTTCCTCCCCTGTGTTGCCCTATTCGGGCAGTCCAAGCTGCCTATCAAGAATCGTTTTCGCTTGAAGTCCCGCCCTTCCCCCCCGCCCCGCTTTTTCCCCACCCGCCGGAGCTGTCATTTCCCTTTGGATGGTTTCGCCGCGCGCCCGTCAATCACGTCAAGCCAGCCAAGCCGAGCGCTTTGAGGCCGCGCCCCTCCCTATCCCCGGACGACGTCTCGCCCAATCAGCGAAAGGAAGGCTTTCGGGGTCACGTGAGCGGATTTTTCGAGCCTGGCGCGCCGCGGGGCCCTCCTTTCGCTCCGCCCACGGGGAGGAGGAGGAGGAGGAAAGGGGGCGGGGCCAGCAGAGCCCAGATTGGCACGCCGTCCTCCCACGGCGGCGCGCTGTTGCTGCTGCTGCCGCGGCTTTTCCTTCCCCCCCCCTCCCTCCCTCCCTCTCTCTCTTGCCCTCCCCCGTCTCGGGAGCGCGCGCGCGCGCACCCCCACCACCACGCGCTGCTCCCGCTGCTCGCTTTTCCCGGCTCTGCAGAGGTTCTTTTTTGCAGGGGTGGGGGAGTCTTCTTCCTCCTCCCGCCCCTCGCCTGCCAGCCAGCGAAGGACCCGGTGAGTGCCCCCCCTCCCCACCCCGCTTTTCAGCTGGGAGGGGAACGGTCTGGGAGGTGGGGGGGGCTGATTGCCGTCGGGGAGGAGGAGGAGGAGGAGGAGGATGCAAAGCCAGGATTTGAGTGTTGGGGGGGGGTTGTCCTTGGAGGAGGGCGACGTGACTGGGGAGGGAGAAGGGGGGCGTCGTTGCATGGCAGGCAGAGGAGGGGGGGGTTGCATGCCCCCCCTCTCTCTAGAAAGGGGTCTTTGCTGCTTTTGCCCCCCTTGCAGGGAGGGAGGAGGGGGAGGGCGCAGGTGAGGAGGGGTCTCTGGGCTGGGTCTCTAGAAAGGGGTCTTTGCTGCTTTTGCCCCCTTGCAGGGAGGGAGGAGGGGGAGGGCGCAGGTGAGGAGGGGTCTCTGGGCTGGGTCTCTAGAAAGGGGTCTTTGCTGCTTTTGCCCCCTTGCAGGGAGGGAGGAGGGGAGGGCGCAGGTGAGGAGGGGTCTCTGGGCTCTCCTAGAAAGGGGTCTCGACTGTTTTCCCCCACCCCCTTCCTCCTAAGGGAAAGAGGAGGGGAAGGCACAGGTGAGGAGGGGTCTCTGGGCTGGATCTCTAGAAAGGGGTCTAGGTTGCTTTGCCCCCATTGCAGGGAGGGCAGAGAGGAAGGCACAGGTGAGGAGGGGTCTCTGGGCTGGATCTCTAGAAAGGGGTCTAGGTTGCTTTGCCCCCATTGCAGGGAGGGAAGAGGGGAAGGCACAGGTGAGGAGGGGGCTCTGGGCTGGATCTTGCTTGCTTTTTACCCCCTGTAGGGAGGGGAGGAGGGGAGGGCACAGGTGAGGAGGGGGCTCTGTGCACCCCCTTAGGGCTGCTTCTCTGCTGCTGGGTCCCCTCTGAGGAAGGTGGAATTCAGGGGTTAAGGTGGGGGCTCCCTTCCCCCCCAAAAGGGGGTCTTAGTTTCCTTGCCCCCTTGCAGGGAGATAGGAGGGGAGGGTGCAGGTGAGGAGGGGGCTCTGCATCCCCCCCCTGTAGGATTGGATCTATTTGGTCCCCCCCTCAGGGAGGTTGGGAACCCATACAAAGTCAGGTGGGGGGCTCTGAGCCCTCAGTAAAAGAGTGGGGGGTCTCGACTTCCTTGCCAAGTAGGAAGGGATGAAAAGCAGCAAAAATCCCCCCCGGGAAGGGTTTTTTGCTGCTTGGCCCCCTCCCAGGGAGGGAGGTCCTCCCCTCATCTACAAGGGGGGGGTCTCAGCTGCTTTGCCCCCTTGCAGGGCGATGGAACAGGGGAGGGGCACAGTCAGGACCCCTTCTAGCAGCTATTCTGCACTTGCAGAAAACCCACCTGCCTGGATCCTTCCCAGGGAAGCAGCCCAGAGTAATTCAAGATTTAATTCAGCATGCTAAGCTGAATTAAGCTGACAGGTAGATCCCGGTGGAAAATCCACTACTCCGCTTCCTTCTGGCTGATTTTGAGTGGATCGCTTGTGTTTTGGGCACCCTACGGTTCCCACTTCTGTAATTCAGATTTAAAAAAAACAAACCAGAGAGAGAGAGAGATAGCAAAACAGAACTAATTACAATGCTCTGGAGTAAGGGAGAAAATGGTGATTATGGTGATGCAAACAGCCCTGGTTTTGGGTGAAAGCAGGACAGGGGTTATTTCAGTGAGCCGATTAAGCAAGATGTTGGGTGATGCCTCCTGAGACGTGTCTCCATTTGGCCGCACCCGGGAGCTTCTTTTCGGGAGCGAGTGCCAAAACCATTTCAGACAAAGAGTTATCCAATCTCCTCTTATAAACCTCCGGTGATGGAGTAGCCACGATTTCTTGTGGTTGGCCACCGGTCCCTCCAGCAGCCAAGTCAGAGGAGGAGAAAGAGGCGTGGGAGGGTCAGCATCAAGGCAGCCTTGGAGCTTCGAGGGGGAAGAGGAACTAGAGCTGGCAGAGAGAGGGAGGGGGGGGAGAGAGAGAGAGGGGGGGAGGCGGAGCCTGGGCTGTCCGTCAGCCCTCAGTTGGAGGGTCAACAGCCCCCAGGACTGGAGGTGGCTGATGAGGAAGGAGAGGAACAGCTGGGTCCAGTGCCTGACGCGTGGATGCACAGAAGGCAGAGGAGAGGAGAGCAGTGGAAATCTATGGGCCGGTCCTTGAGAAGGAGGAGAGGAGAGCAGTGGAAATCTATGGGCCGGTCCTTGAGAAGGAGGAGAGGAGAGCAGTGGAAATCTATGGGCTGGTCCTTGAGAAGGAGGAGAGGAGAGCAGTGGAAATCTATGGGCTGGTCCTTGAGAAGGAGGAGAGGAGAGCAGTGGAAATCTACGGG